TTATGATTTTAAATCATGATTGCAATCTTGAGTCACATAGCAGCTTTATTTTATTTACATGGAAGCAAAATTCAATACATGAGAGAGACCAGATGTCATCGTCAAAGGTTATAAGGGGAAGAAATTTAAAGAAGCAGAAGGAAGAGCTCTACTAGAATTTCTAGATCCTAAAATAACCAGCATATATTAACTTTTGTCCCCTCAGCTGAGTCAAAGAAGTTTATGTTTATTCATGTTCTATGTCAGTACTAGTGTAAAATAATACATCAAGATGCTATACAAATTGGACCCTGTCAACTATACCACAGGTCATTGCTGGTACAGCATCTTTTCCTTCTCTAAAAAACTCTTAGGTAACAGTGAACCAAAGTTAGTACCCACCAGACGAGAGAGCTTATGAGAATAATATTGTCGATGAGATGGATTTGCCTGTATATGCTCATTCAAATGACCTGCACTGGAAATTAGGATTATCAGTCTACCAATGCTCTGGTGCCAGAGCATGGAATTTAAACATGAACTAAGATGTTCAGAGAAAAATATCTAGATTAATCTGCAAGCCAAGGATCAACAATTTCCAAGCCCTTTTGACTCCCTTTTTGACTATGTTGATGAGATACTCTTTTTTCCAAGCATGATAACTGAACTTCTAACTTCAGGATTTAAGCCTCATCATTATGTTCAAGTGTTCACTAAAAGAAACAAACAAAGATAACAGAAAAGAAACCCATGAATGGCAGTGTAGGAACAACAGAATCTAATGAATCAAGTCAGAGCATAAAAATATAATAAGTGGTTGAAGTATTTTCTGAGGAAGAGCATTTCAACTTCAAAACTGCTTTGAAATGCAAAGCAAAGCAAGCAAAATAACCCGATGGACATAATCATGAAAATAAGTTACAAATTCTGCCTTAAAAGTTTCAAAAGAAAAACAAAATTCAAATAATATGTGTGCTCATCAATGCAATTTCCCTTGAGAAAAGGTTTATCTACTAATATTGATTACTGACACACCATACACATTGCAAGATTAATCAGTCCAGTAAACAGAAAAGTGAGATAAAAATTGCATAAGGGAAACAAAAAATTTGCTAGATGTCAAGAAATGCATAAATGTTCAACAGTACAACCTTATGTTATGCCATAAGTGCACTTAATCAATCCACAAAGTAGAATTATTATGCTTACTTGTCACAGAGCGGAATGCTACAATGAAGGCATGTGGCTAAATTTAGTGAGCTATAGCATTCATTGCACTTTGCAGCTGACATGTTTTTGCCTATCTGGTGGCATCTGCAAACACAAAAAGGCCACAAAAGGGATCCTGAGTCCACTTTGATTATGTGATCAATAGAACAAATAAATAAATTATGTTCTCCAGCCAAGTATAGGCTTAAGTGAAGAGGTAATCTAAAAGACAAACCACAGGTAGCTTAATTAAATGAACTATAATGCAAAAGTGGTCAGCAGAACAAATTCAATACAACTGGGTAACATTCTGACTTTAAGTAAACAATCCACTACTCATTTTGCTCAATGAGAGATGAAAATCTGTTCATTTCAGGAAATCTTGAACTGGTGGAGATATCCGATGTCAAAAAGCATTTACCTAACCATCTTAACAATCCATTTAGACTATATAATATATATTCCTACAAATATTCTTTTTCAATGTTAGATGAAAATGAAGTTGCTGATGAGATATGATCATATAACTGCTTGCTGGTGAGGTAATATGACTCCTTAGCTCAATACAGGATAGAAACATCCACTAAATATACCAAATGGATAACATGAGCTACTAGTCAGTACTTTTACTTTCTATGGCAATGAGCACTTGAAATTTTCTCCTGCATAACAGCTTTCAGTAGACTCAACAACACAAGGTCAGGCTAAATGCAATAAACAAGAGGAAGGAGGATCCCTAAACTTAAAAAATTCATTACCTACATAAGACAAGTCAAAATTCCAAAGCACAAAAACAAAAAAAGGTAAATTAGGAAAAATACTTAAAAATAAATTCCAAACCTTCTGTACAATGCAAGAAGGTCAGCAGGTATTGAATTGGGTTTGCCTTGGCCCAATGTCACCTGGACGAAACATAGACTTTAATGAGTTATACCATCTATTTTCCCCTTTTTCTCCATTCATTACAAAGGCAAATCATGGAAGTGGTAAGGTGCATGTTTACTATAAATATAACCAAAAGAATTAATAGTGAACCTGGTTACTTGTCATCACCAAACAATCTTCAGCAAGGTGTCCAGGCCTTCTACATTTCCAACTACACATACAAGTTCAAAATCGCAGGTGAATAAAGAGCTAAAATGATCAGAACATGTATTTTATACTGGAATAAGTGAAATTATGCAAACAAATAAAATTGCAACGAAAAATACAACAGTGGCCTCTCTCTGGTCATGGACTCTATTTTACTGCCATTTTTTACACTTGAGAAACTTAGACGACAAACAAACAAGATGTCTAAGGAAATAAATACCATTCATAAGTAGAAAGACTGGAAATCTTCTTGGACCAGCGATGCCGCTCATAATCCCAAGTGTCCTCACCAAAATCAGGCATTGGTAAGGTAAATTTGGGTCCAGATGAGTAGACATCTTGTCTTTGATTGCTCAAGGGCTCCTGAGAAAATAATTTATCGAAGGACTTCAGACAAATCGAAGCAATAAATAAAACACTACAACAAACTTGTCTGCTAAGTACCTTCACAACTTTAAGAGCTTCCAATAGATCAGCTTTGCACTCCATGCTGCAGATGTCGTCATTGGTCTATTAAAACAGACAAACACCAGTTAAGAGTCTAGAGATTACTACCATGCAGTGCAGGGGTGCAAAAAGAGACTCCATGAGTAGAAGTTTATAGATTTGTAAATGCAGTTCACATAATATCATAACCTACCTCGTCGCATATGTATTCTCCATATTTACCACATATGACACAAACAGGTTCTCCTGGATGAGGGAAATGCTGTTCACTTCTGCTCTTTAATCGGTCAGATTCATTTATGTGACCTGAAAGAAGCACGCCAAGAGAAAGTAGTGTTAACGAGGACAAATTAATGAATTTCTTGGCAATTAGCCACCTGAAGTTACAAAGAAACAAATTTATTAGGAAAAACTATCAATCCATAACTCTATTTGGGCTGATTCACCCAACCCAATCAGATCATCACACTTGGTAAGGGAAATTATCAGCAAAATTGAGTATCTTTACGTATTTCTTTATACAAGAATAACTAACCAGAACTTGGAGAATCCTGCTTCAACTCACATTCCGAAGTACTTTCGTCACCTATATTTTTCACATTACCATGTTTATCAATTGGCTGAAAACTATCAAAATTGTAGCACTTGACAAGCTCCTACTAGTGACAAGCTACCATCGTTGACTAATATCAGAGAATGAAGAGTGAGAAATAGAAAAAGAGAAAGCTTACTGTCATATTGTACCAACTTTAAGCACGAAATTCCCGGCTTTCCCTGCCAAAACAAGAAACCAAACCTCAAAATGTGACCTTAATCAATCACAAATTTACAATGCAAACAAATTAACAGCAGCAATTTCAATTACCAAAACATCAGCAGTCAATTCCTCATAAGCCTGCGATGCACGAACTTCTTTTCTGCTCATGCATTTCACAAACTAATATAATAAGCAATTTATTTATTTTTATAAAAAAAAAAAGCAACAACTGCAATTCATAAACTATGGAACAAATTTGAATTTGATAATTGAAACTAAAAATCAGCTCTTGCCTTCTTTTATCTATGTAATCCTGGTGAGACATAGGCCCATCGTTCTCTTCGATTTCACGGTTCTGAGTCTGACGTCGAGGCGGCGGTGGCAGTTCCGGATCACGCTGGCGTTTACGACGTGCCGTTTTGCCATCAGCAGCTGGTGGCCGTTCTTCAATCGGAGGAGCATTTCCAGTGGCGATGTTGTAAGCTGAAAACAGAGGAAATTGAGTTTATTCAGATTAGAGGCCTGTTGGGTCGATGAGGAGAAAAAGAAAAAACAAGAGAATGGTAGCTACCTTTCAGGTTCTGAAGAACGGAGGAGAGACTGAGGTCCTTCTTGTAAGCAATGGAAGGGTTCTTGTAGAAATTTGTCCTCGTCCCCATTTTGTAGCTCTCTGCATGTCGAAGAGGTGTAGTTTGATGAAGAAGAAGAAGAAGAAGAAGAAGAAGAAGAAGAAGAAATGGGTGTTGGGTCAGAAAGCTATGGGCCCTGTAGATGGGCTTACCAGGCCAGCTGACATGGAAGTAGATTTCAACATGAAGCTCTCAAGCCCATACTTAATGCAATGCTCTCTGGTCGACAACAAAAAGAGAGTTTTCTTGTATTCATAATTCGCAATTGCAACATAATTAGCATTTTACTAGGGTTGGCAGCAATAATAAAAAGTTATACAAAGAAAATAGTTTATCATTTTTTGTTGTTTTAACAGGTAAAGTAGGGACGTTTTGAAAAAATTATTAATTCTGCAATTTGTGTTCGTGTTTGAATTTTCACATTTGTTTAACGAGTTGTTTCGTGTCAATCTGTTAACTTAACGCATCAAATTAAATTCAAACCGAAAATGGAAAAATAAACTACCTTCTAGGTCAATCAATAAGAGTGTAGGTGATAGAAAGTGAAGTTTGCGAATTAGCCTCATGTTCAAAATCAATTGTGTATAGTGTAATAAGGACATAATTAATTTTTCTCACACCTTCTCTTGTATAGTGTAATAAAGCATGGATAATAATGTAAATATGTTAAGAAAATTGTTGAAATCTATTTCTGTGCTTTTTTTACTTGATGAAATGTGATGAAAACAAAAGAATCAAAGTTAGACAACTGCGAATGTAGTTGTTGAGCACTCTATCACAATTTTAAATTATCCGTTAGAGATACTCCAAATTAAAATTAAAATTATTAATTGGATAAGTTGTTATTTTAAATTATAATCCAAATTAATAATCTAACAACACATACTAGACTGCCTTAGAATACAACATTACCCAATAACTATACCCAAGCTTGAATTATACATAGTTTCCAATATTTGATACAAGTGTCTCCTAGTCATTAGGGCTACTCATAGAGTGCTGGTTCCGATAACCTTGGAGTGGGGATGGCAACCAAAGGCACCTCCTTCTTCATAGCAATCCCAAACTTCTCTGAAAGATCCAGCTCCTCCCCTTGTGGCAATCTCCAGTCAAAAGAATGCAAAAGCGTAGCAAGCAAATGCATCACCATCCTCTCAGCCATAGCGATCCCGACACATATTCTTTTCCCAGACCCAAACGGCAAATAGGTGAAGTCCCTTCCATTGTAATCCCATTTACTATCCAAGAACCTGTTTGGATCAAACTCCAATGGGTTCTCCCAGTTACAAGGGTCTCTGTGTATGGCCCAGGCGTTGATGAAAACCTGAGACCCTTTCGGGATGGTGTAGCCTCCGACGGTGCAGGTTTCGCTTGGGGAGTGAGGGATTAAGAGTGGTACGATTGGGTGCAAGCGAAGGGTTTCTTTCATGACGGCTTGTAAGTAGGGTAGTTTATGAATGTGGGATTCTTCTACAATGTTGTGCTTGCCAACTACGGCGTCTAGTTCTTGCTGGGCTTTTTGCATCACCTCTGGTTTGTTCATGACTTCGGCCATGGCAAACTCTACTGTGTTGGTGGATGTGTCAGTTCCAGCCGTCACCATATCCTGTCCACAATATTGAACACCAAGGTCATATGTTAATGCACTATTTCATTCACATTATCCTTACAATTTAAAAAATATGACATGTTGCAGACGTGGGTTAGGCAAGTTACTCCGTTGCACTCAAGTTCAAATTCTCTTTCCGTAGATTAGATTAATTTAGAGTAATTTAAATTGTCACTTGTATTTTAAAATTTTAAATTTTAAATTTTATAAATAAGTAATCAAATATCATATTATCTAGTTAATGACGCATCAAAACTTGCCTTCATATCCTCTGTGGTTGCCCCAATTAACTTTTTTTTTTTTTTTGTCAAAGTTAAGAAGGGGGGGAGGGCTTTTCTCACACACACCGCCAATGTGTCATGGAAGTTCGAACCAGAGAGCACTTATCTGCGAGTTAATGCTATTTTTCATTGGGCTAGACTCCGCCGACATTGCCCCAATTAACTTTTTTTTTTTTTGTCAAAGTTAAGAAGGGGGAGAGGGCTTTTCTCACACACACTGCCAATGTGTCATGGAAGTTCGAACCAGAGAGCACTTATCTGCGAGTTAATGCTATTTTTCATTGGGCTAGACTCCGCCGACATTGCCCCAATTAACTTAGTAACATAATATTTGATTACTTCAATTTAAAGGGGATTTTTCATTTGGTTAATTATGTTGTTTTTTTTTATTGAGCCACTTGAGTTGTAAGGATGATGAGTTTCAAAGTATTACTCCATTAATTAATATTCAGATTGAACCCCAAGCTCTTAAGCTTCAAAGGACTTCATCATACATAGACAAACTTCTTGACAGCTAAGGATAGACAATGGGTGGCTATAGGTACCCACACTAGGCCTCGTCAATGGGTCAGTCCAGACTTTAAAGAGGAGAGAGAAAATAACGGGCCGAGTCAAATTGGGCTTATTTAGAAAATTCAAAGCCCAAATCTGACCCATGAGCTGGGCCTGGGAAAGCCCATTGAGCCGGGATGGGTCGGGTCAAAATGGGCCTATTTTATTTTGTCTTCTTTTTTTTATATGGATTTTTTTTTGTCAAATTTTTTTTTCTTCTATGTTTCCCTTTTTTTCATAGTTCTCTTTTTATATTTGTCCATATGTTTATGTCTACATTTTTTTTTCTTTGTTCATAACTTCATAGTTCTCTTTTTTTTCCATAAATATGAAGATATAGTTATACAACCACAATATTAACAAAATAATATTTTATGCCTTACTTCATTTTTTCAGTTCTTATAATGATAATAGATAATGATTTTCTCCATCTTTCATATAACTTGAGTTTTTATATATATTTATTTATATGTATGTGGGCCCGCGAGTTGGGCTTTAGATACCCAAGCTCAAGCCCAACCCACTTAACAATGGGTCGGACCGACCCATGGCCCATAACAAGCCGAGTCAGGCTTTTTATCAATGGGCCAGACGAGCCCCCATCGACTAATGTGTTGGCGAGCCTAATAATGACCCCTAACCCACACCATCCCCAACCATCACATCCTTAACTTATAATGGATTCCCATATCACATTATCTAAAATACAACTCAAAGGCTAATATGTTTTTTCTTTATATATACTAGCCTCTCTGCACGTACTTCCGCGCCTGCGAGAGGTGTTTTTTAAAAAATTAAAATTTATTTTAGAATTAAAAAAAGATAATGGGTAGTTGTGTTCTATAAAAATAGGCCATTATCTGATTTTTCTTTTAATTTTAATTTTTTTTAAATATGAAAAAGTGTGAATTTACCATATTATCCTCATTTAATTAATAATTTCAATTCTTAATATTTGCATTAACCAAGAGCATTTTTTGATATTTTGAATGTTTCACAATTCTCTGCCTTTTGCTCTATATATATATGATAATCTAAATTACTTTAAATTAACTTAAATTTGAAGAAAAATTAAATTTGAGCGCAAGAGAACGGGCACAATATGCTGATCAAACTGACTTAACACAATATATACTGACACTCCATATTTGATAAATACAAAAATTTTAAAAATAACCTAAAAAATGCAAATATATAAAAATGAATTGTCAATAATTGCCTACCTACCACATGCAATAAATTTAAAAAAAAATTAGAAAAGAGAAGAACATACCACAAGCAGGGCTTTGACGTGGCTCATGGTGAGAGGCGTCTTAGAATCCACCTCATCTTTCAAACTCAACAAAACCGACAAAAAATCCTTGCTCTCTTTGCCGCCTTCCTTGTCAATCCTCAGCCTTCGATCGATCATCTCCTCAAATATCCCATCAAACCTCCGGACCAGCCTCTTCACCCGCTTCCTTATCCCTTGCAAATCGAACCGGGCTAAACCCGGATAAAAGTCCGAAACGTTCGGCTTCCCAATAAGCTCAATCATACCCGACACCAATTCCCGAAACTCCGCCCCGACTCCGACACCCGCACTCTCGTCTCCCTCTCCAGTCCCGCCCCACAACATGTTCTTCACGACGTTGAACAGCGTCAAGAACGTCTGCTCGCCCACGTTGATGGGCGACCCGACCTGGGCGTACAAGTACCCGACGGTCTTCCGGATCTGTCTTCGCCGGAGCTCGTACACCGAGTCCAGGGTCGTGTTGTTAAGCATCTTGAGCACGCAGACTTTTCTCAGCATCCGCCACTCGGGTCCGTACTGGGTCCAAGCGATATCCGACCCGCCGTAGGTGGCGGCCCGAGCCGCGTCTGGGACGTCGCGGTTGGCGAAGGTGACGTCATGGTCTTTGAGGATTTGGCGAGCGGAGGAAGGAGAGGAGACGACGATGCAAGTCTTTGTGCCGAGGCGGAGCCTAAAGATTGGGCCGTGGGCTTGGGCCAGGCCCAGAAAGTAGGAGTGAAGCTGTGGGCGAAGAGAGAGGAGGTTGCCGATGAATGGGAGGCCCAATGGGCCTGGCGGCAACGGCGGGGTGGTGGTTGTGTTCTTGTATTTTTTTATGAACAAAACCCAGAATGAGAATATAACGGCGGAGAGAGTGACGAAGAGCAGTGTGTGCAAAACGTCGTCGTTTTGAGACCACCATGAAGATAAGGAAATGGGTTTCATGGCTGAGCAGGAAGGGGAAGAAGAAGGGACTTGTGGACTGTGTGGATGTGGTTGGTGTATCGAATGAACAACTTAATATTGGGGGCTGCTCTTTAATCGTATAGTAATATATTGGCTTTTTATCACAAATGGTCCCTTAGGTTTGCAAAATTATCGCATTTCGTCCCTAACTTTTTTTTATGACACTAATGGTCCCTAAGGTTACTCTTCACACATCAAAATAGTCCTTGCCGTTAGCTTCCGTCAAATTTTCTGTTAAGTAACTGACGTGTCATATCTGTGAAGCCCACACATCAAATAGTATACATCCACGTGCCAGCGCCTCCAACCCCAAAAAAAAAAAA